GATTTCTTTCCATAGTTTCAACATTCACCTTTGTCATTTTATTTTCCTAACCTGGACTTTCCTCTTCTGAACTTAAATTTATCTATGCCTGTATTTTTGTCCAGATTTCTTTTTCCGTTCTCAACTTTTAACGCAGAACTTAAACATTTAAGGCTCGTTGCATTCTTGTGAATCTCTTCATTCAGCATTAGCCTCACGATGTAATCAGAGTTTAACTTCATATTACCTGAAGAGTTGCTTATAGTTCTGGCTAGTCCACCACTGCTATCTAACATTAAAGATAGAATTGACAGTGCCCTGACATCATCATCAAATTTGATGTCCACAGAATACAATCGGTTTGTCACAATGTTGAAATTAGTCAAATGTTCAGTCATTGAACTCCATTTCATCATCTTTATGTTGAATAATCTCTTCATCAGAAAAATTTGTTACGTGGGCGCTAAGCCTAAGGGAAAATTTGTCTTTTGTATGCCTAAGGTAAATTTAGTCATTTATTTTTATGATTGTTTGGTATAAATAGTCTTGTTATGTTTAGGGTTAAATTTTTGCAAGAGATTGAGTTGTGAGTCTTAGGTTTAGGTCTTGGGAGAGATTTGCTACATTTCGAATTGTAGGAATTAAGAGAGATCGCCTACCTCTCGAATTGTTGGTGTTTATCTTATGTATATATGTGAGTTGATTGGATTATTGAAGAAAATATTCTTGTTTACCCTAACTTCTGTAAAAATTCAAGTCGATTTCGATGTCAGATCGTATTGGTATCAGATCAACAGTTCTGGGAATAAGTGCTCAGAATTGTCATACAGTTGCAATTTAAGCTTGTAGGGAAGGCAACAACGGGCTCGCGGCTCGCTGAAGAAGGCAATGAAGGGATTGCGGCTTTACATAAGACAATAGATCGTGACGTGGGGAAGAATCGCGACATAACTAGGATAGGAACTCACCTCCTTCCGCTCCATACTAGTGCAAAGCAGTTGCGACTATGACTACATAATCGCAGCTTATAGCGACCAGCCACAACTTTTCTCCCCTCAATCATAGCTTGTGGGGAAGGCAACGAAGGAATCATGTCTTCTTCTGTGAAGATCAACGACATCAACGAAATCGCGGTGTATAAAAATCCTCAACTCACGATCTCTCCTGTTTTAGCGCCTTCTACTTGATAGGATTGCGATCAGACATGGTTTGGGAAGGCAACGATTGGGAAGCAGTGAACAGAGACCAAAAACTCACATTCTTCTCCTCCTCTCGTGCCTTCTACGCGATCCAGTCTCGATCAGAGCTAGCTAGGGAATGTATAAGTATGGAATGGCTACAAAGATCCGAAACTCCCATTCTTCTCTTCCTTACGTGCCATGTACATGTTATATCATGACCAAAACTATTTGGGAAGGCAGAAATGGGGAGGCAGCTTATTGAGACCCAAAAATTGCAATTTTCCTTTCCTCACATGCGATACAATCGCGATCTGTAGTGCCCCATGTAACTTGGAAGCATCGACGTTTACCATGAGAGCTACGTGGAAGCTGTTGATTAGATTTCATCATTCAGTAGTTTCTCTTGCATGATATAAAATATTTCTAGTAGAAACGACGACCAAGAAAATAGAGGCGTGGGAGAAGAAGTCAGAGGAAGAGACGAGTCAAATCAGAACTTGGATGGAAGAAATGTTCGCCATAAAGGAGGATAGTTTTCGTCCATAGAAAGGCAAATGGAGGATGAATTTGAGAGCATAGGAGAAATACGAGAGATGATGAAAAGCTCATAGAAATGCAGTCCAATGACATGCCGATCGCTTCAGTTGCAAACCCTAATCAAGGGTTGATCATGGAATCCTTAGCCAGGTCAAAAGGGAAGTAGATTGAACGAGAAGACAATGAGGACGACATCATCTACCAAGAAGAGCACCCCTCTAGGACTGTGAGAGGAGGGGGAGTAGAGAATTCCGAGGGAGGGGGATGGGCCGAAAATTCGAGGGATGGTGTAAAGGGTATGGAAGAACATGAGGAAGGAGGAAATCGAGAGTTGGGTATGCTTAAGATCGGAGGAGGGAGTTCCACCTTAGATACATGGGGGGAAATACGGGAGGAAGACCAAGTTGGGGTGGAGATATTAGAGTTAAGAAGTTGAAGATACCGATCTTCGAGGGGGAAGATGTGGGTGTATTGAGCGGAGCGATACTTCACGGTGAATTAGTTAGATGGGTAGGAGAAACTCATGGTGGCAAGATTGTGTTTGGAGGGGAAGACCTTAGCCTGGTTTCAGTGGAAGGAGGCTAGATTCCCGATTCGTTTGTTGGATGAATTTAATGATTGTTTGTTGGAACGTTTCTGAGCCATTCGAGAAGGAGACCTACACGAGCAATTCTATGCTTTGACTCAGGAGGGGATGATCATGGAATTCAGGAAGAGATTTAAACTATTGTTGGGACGACAGTGGGGGATTTTTGAAGTAGGAATGGAGGGAAATTTCATGAAGGGTTTAGCCCGATATACTTGCAATACTCCGACTACTAAGATTGCAGGGATTAAGGGAGATGATGGAGCTAGCCTAGCTGTTGGAGGACAAGAACCAGATGATGAAAGCCAATAGGAACAACAAAGTTGGAGTGTCGTACGGAACTACTGCAACCACGGCGATGCCAAAAGTTCAGACAGTGTAAGTCGAGAGGGAGGCTGCAGCGGACACGAATAATGGAACCCGACGGGTAGCAACATTCAAGCATCTTACAGAGACAAAGATTCAGGATAAGTGAGCCAAGGGGATGTTTTTTGGGTGTAATGAGAAGTTTATCCCATGACACCATTTGCAAGGATTGATTGATACAAGTTTATAGTGCAGAATGAGGAAGAAGAGAATGAAGAAATAGAGATGGATGTGGGGGAGGAGCACTCTCATATTTTTCCCACCTTGAGGACAAGGTGCCTTTTTGGGTGTTGGGGCGGTGAGTATTGTTACGAGGGTGCTTAGATTAAGAGCAAATTTGTCTTTTGTACGATTAAGGGCAATTTAGTCGTTTATTATTACTATTGTTCGGTATTAATAGTCCTGTTATGTTTAGGGTTAGCTTTATGCATGATAATGAGTTGTGGTCTTTGGTTTAGGTCTTAGGAGTGATTTCCTACCCCTCAAATTGTAGGTGTTTATTTTTTGTATTTGTGTGTGTTGTTTAGATTATTGAAGAAAATGGTTGTGTTTGCCCTAACTTCTGTAAAAATTGGAGTCGATTTTGAGGTCGGATCGTATCAAAATCTTATTTGAAGTAAAATGTGGAACATTATATTTTTGAAACTTGATATCTGTCACTCCTTTTATTTTTCTTTCTAAATGTTCTTGCATGAACAAGTAGCTCTACCACCCTTTCTTTAATTGGTACATTGCATATGATGCAAGGGGTGGGACATCTGAAGTAGTTATCTTTGTGTCAAAAACCTGCTGCACCCTCTTCATCTTAGATTGTCCTTACTCTTATTGGTGGAAAATTAAGTAGTTAACACTAATCATATTTTCGTCTCTTCATAATGATGCGGATACGGCTGTCTGTCTGAATTGAAACATGGCTTTGTTAATTTTCTTTTTTTTTTAAATTATATGTATTTTCAATTGCTTTATGCATATTTTTGTATCAGGCCATATAGATATTCCTCTTTTTTTCCCATGTTAGTGCAGATTTTAAACCCGGAGAGCCAGTAATAGACTGGAATACTAGAAAACGAGTGGCCTTAGGCACAGCTCGTGGACTGGAGTACCTTCATGAGCACTGCAATCCCAAGATTATTCATCGTGATGTAAAAGCTGCTAATGTGTTACTTGATGAAGATTTTGAAGCTGTTGTTGGGGACTTCGGTTTAGCCAAACTGGTGGATGTGAGGAAGACTTCTGTGACAACTCAGGTTCGAGGGACTATGGGCCACATAGCTCCTGAATATCTGTCCACAGGGAAATCATCAGAGAGGACTGATGTTTTTGGTTATGGGATCATGCTGCTTGAACTTGTCACAGGTCAGCGAGCCATAGATTTTTCACGCTTAGAGGGGGAAGATGATGTATTACTCTTGGATCATGTAAGTTCCTTTATCCTCTACCTTTTTCATTTTCTGAAACTTCATTGGTGGCTCTAAGGCTATTTGTTTGCTCATTTTGGTGTCTGTTTTTGCTTCATTTTATTTGTTTTCTTTATTTTACTTGAATTTTTTAGGAAACATTAGCTTAATAGTGAAAATGATGAATTGCCATGTGAAGTGAATGTTTTGTTCTAAATATTCTGGTGGTTTGAGATTTGAAAATTGAATGAAAATTTATATGGATTTGATTAATTTTTTGGTGACGCTAGCGGTGTCAAAACAGGTTTGTGGGTTGGATTCGGGTTTGATCTGAACCTGATTTGCATATTAAATGAATTAGAAAGTCCAACTCAAACTTGACTTGCCTTCAACCTATTGACATGAACCTGGCCTATATAACTCATTTAATATAAGGCACGACGACACCTATCCGGGTCGATTTTAGGTCAATTTAGATCTTAGCAAGTGTCAATTTTGGGTTAATGGGTTTTTTCTGGTTAATTTTTTTTTGGTGGGTAAACCTGAATCTGACTAGAAAGAGTTAATGGGTTATAATTTCTAACTCAAACCCGACCTGAAAATTACTCGGCCAACACAAACTTAGATTTTTCTTAGTAGAGTTCTGGTCAAGCTGGCATGTTGAGTCAATTATTGACACCGACGTTTCTTAACTGATATAAGGAATAAGGCTAATTATGAAATGCTAACTTTTATTCACTTTTCTCTCCTTCCGCATTTCAACAGGTCAAAAAATTGGTGCGAGAAAAGCGTCTTGAATCCATTGTCGATCGTAATTTGAACAAGAGCTACAATGTTGAGGAAGTGGAGAAGATGATCCAGGTGGCTCTCCTGTGCACCCAGGCAACGCCGGAAGATCGTCCGTCAATGTCCGAGGTGGTTCGGATGCTCGAAGGGGAGGGCTTGTCTGAGAGATGGGAGGAATGGCAGCAGGTCGAGGTCAATAGGAGGCAAGAGTATGAAATGCTTCAGAGGAGATTTGATTGGGGTGATGATTCCATCAATAACCAGGATGCGATTGAGTTGTCTGGTGGAAGATGAGTTGCTTGTGTTTTTAGTCGGGATTCATGTTGCAGATTTTGCATTTGTAAGATATTTCATTAAGTTGGTTTTGTGGAAAATAAAAAGTGTAATTCCATTATCAACCTGAGACTATTTGTGGATTTTATTTTCTAAGGGCTTTATATTTGCCGGGTTTTAATATGTATTTTTTATACATATTGATGAAATCAAGCTTGACTGAAGTTTGCTTCAGAGTTTCAATATGTAATTTTTATACATATTGATGTGAGGTCATAATTATAATTTTGGTATGTAGATAATTTCAAGTTTAATTAAATACATTAGTTACTTGTGCATGTAAAATTAAAGTTCAATTCAACTATAAGTTTTCTTAAATCAAAGTTCAACGAATTATAAATTTAAGTCAAATGCTTTAAATTTAAGTACTACATCGAAACAAAGGAAGAGGCATTTGCCTCCGGTGCCGATTCTTGTATTTAGGGCTGTCAAAACAGCTCGTTGTTCGCGAACAGCTCGTGTTCGACTCGTTAAAAAGCTCGTGTTCGGCTCGTTAAT